ACAACAGGTGGCTCTGGCTTTTTTTTTTTTTTTTTAAACATCCTTTTTAACCAAATAAAAATTTTGGCAATACTGCCTCCAAAATTGTGAGGGAACTATTTCCTGGCTAGAGAAATCCAAACATTCAGAAACTCCAGCCTGGGTCCGTGCTGTCCAATGCAGTACGACTAGACGTAAGAGGCGGTAGAACCCGTGAACTGTGGCTCGTCCAAATGGAGGGGTGCTCGCAGGTTAAAATACACATGGCATGTCGAAGACTTTGTATGAATATAGCTCATTAATAAGTTTTACATCACTCAGGTGTTGAAATGTTAATATCTTGGATACACTGGGTTGAATAAAATAGATGATTAAAATTAATCTCCCCTGTTTCTTTGCACTTTTTAGAGATACAGGCCCTCGACAATTTAAAATTACACGTACGGGGCGCCTGGGTGGCTCAGTCGGTGAAGCGTCTGCCTTCAGCTCGGGTCATGATCCCAGGGTCCTGGGATTGAGCCCCGTGTCGGGCTCCCTGCTTCTCCCTCTGCCTTCCGCTCCCCCTGCTTGTGCTCACTCTCTCTCTCCGACAAATAAATAAATAAAATCTTTCAAAAAGATAAAATAGATAAAAGCAAGAGAAGGGAAGCTGTCAGACCCCAGGAGGCCGAGGCTCAGAACTCACCCAGCGTCCCCTTTGCCACAAGCGTTGGCCAAAGCAAGTGAGGGGCCAGCCTAGATTCCAGGGCTGAGCAAACAGACCCTGTCTCTCCAGTAAGAAGGGCTGCAGGGGATTGTGGCCACTGGACAATCTCCTGACTCGAGCTCAGCGGCCCCAAACGAGGAAAGGGTATGCCTGCTCCCTGCACCCTGGTCTTTGTCAGGCCCTCACTGGGACGTTCTTGGATCCTCAGCGCTTTTACCCCCATGGGCTCCTGCCTCCCGGAAGATTGATAGACAGATGATAGAGAGATAGAGAACTAGAGATTATATTTTATGATGAACGTAATGGAGGCTAGATTCGTTATTACATATTCATTATTATTATGTTCTCTTTTTTCTGATTTCATAAGAAAGGAAAATGGAACCCTTTTTGTGGGGCCCCATAACATCCCGGGCACAAGGCTTTGTATCTTGTGGGTCACGTGGAGAAGTTGGTCCTGTGTTTTGTGGCTGATCGAGCACAGGGCACCCCAGCCCAAGGGGTTCAGAGTCCTAGCCATTGCTCAGCAACCTGGGAACTGTTCAGGGTGACAGAGGGTGCGGCAGGCGTCCTCGGAATGAGTTACATATTTCCCTAGTGAGCTGTATTCCAAATCCCCTATAAGGACATGGGTACTTTGCCCTTCCTTAAGTGATGGGCCATGACTCCATTTCTAGGGAAACTCATGGAAGCCAGGTGAGACCAGGAAGGGCATTCAGGGCTCCGATGGTGATAATAACATCAGAGAGCACCCCCCTTTGGTGGATGGCTTTATGGCTGGCCAAGGGCTTTCCCACATCCCCCTGCCTATGAGCCTCGCATCCGCACTCCAAGGTGCGTGCGGCAGGTGGTTCTGCCCACCTTTTCACAGAAACGGACGTTAAGGCTCAGCAATGTAAAATGACTTGCCCATTTAGTGGTGGGTTCTCTGGAAGAGCACCCTGGGCTAGCCCCCTGTCACCACGTGAGTCCCACATGATCCCTGGAGGCGACTACTGTGACCAACAGCCCGGGCAACAGAAGCTTCCTGTGCCCCTGAAGGAGGTCTGGCCTCAAAGGAGAGGCCCAGCCTGGTTAGTGCTAGAATGTTCCCTGACAGCCACATGAGCCACGTGTATTTGGGGTGGGGGAGGGCTGGGTGATTCTTTCAGATTCCGGGGGACTATGTAGCTCTTCAAAATCAGAGCCTGCTTTTGGCTTCTTCCCACATGTGGATGCTGGTCTGTTGTTTTTGACAAGGTTCTGTTGTTATTGGAGCCTGGGTGGCTCAGTCGGTTAAGCGTCTGATTCTTGATTTCAGCTCAGGTCATGAACTCGGGGTCATGGGCTTGAGCCCTGCGTCGGGCTCGGTGCTCACTGTGGAGTCTGCTTGAGATTCTCTCCCTCTCCCCCACCCCCTGCTCGTGCTCTCTGTCTCTCTCTCAAAATAAATAGTCTTTTTTTTTTTTTCAGTTTTTTTTATTAGCATATAATGTATTATTTGTTTCAGAGGTACAGGTCTGTGATTCATCAGTCTTACACAATTCACAGCGCTCACCATAGTAACTACCCTCCCCAATGTCCATCACCCAGCCACCCCATCCCTCCCACCCCCAATAAAATCTTAAAAAAAACAAACCAAGATTATGTTACTACCACTATTTATTTGGAGAGCATACCAGAAAGAACACAGTCCAAAGCCAAACGGCCCCGTCTCTTATGCCACCTTCTCCCAGAGAAGCTGATTCAGCCGCTCAGACCCAGTTTCATGAATCTGAACTGAGGCGAGTGTCACCCACCTCCTGGGGCCCCTTTGTGAGGATGAACTGAGGAAAGAGGTGACAAGTGTTTAGCCCATTGCTCAAAGGCATGCTCTGGGCTCAGAGGTGCTCGCGGTCTGGACTCCTCTTGTCGATATTTATCTGCCCAAGACCCACATGGAGCATCATGGGGGCCAAGCTGACCACAAAACCCTTTCCCCTGCCCTGTTGCTGGCCATCTTCCCGTGGCCTCTGTGGTGAAACATGTGGTCCATCACCTCAGACCAACGTAGAACAGATATTCTAAGCACTGAGGACATCCTTCTGTGAGAACATGAGGGATTGGGGTTCTTGCCCCTCCGAGCACCTGTCTGGAAATAGGCGGCCCAGCCCTGGCCCCTGCAGCTGAGGCTGTAGGAGCTGAGACGCAAGGGTGCTGGGCGGGCCGCGGGGAGCAGCATGGAGCCTGCCTATTAGTCACATTTCCTACATGCACCCAAAGCCATTTCCACCCACCGCGAAGGATGTGAGAAGGCTCCCCCCGCCCTGGAAACCACTCTCCTCCCAGCTGGCCCCAGTGTACCTCAGCCATGGTGACAACCTGTTTCCTGCCACAGTCTTGGGGCCTTACGAAAAGTCAGCTCAACTCAAAGAGTTACTGAGTTGCTGCCGACATACCAGACTCTGGGGTACAGAGACTGACTGGACACAGTCAGGACCCTGGGGTCATTTGCAGATGAGCTCAGCAGAGCGTGGAGAGGAGCAGGGGGTCGTGGAGGCACAGAGCAGGACCACCTAATAAAAGCCAGCTGAGATAGGTGTAGGTGGGGTGAGCGCAGGGAAGGCTTCCTGGTGAGGGTGATAGCTGAGCTGCGTTCTGGATGCCACCCGTAAGCAAAGGGCTCAGCCTGAGCAGAGGCTCAGAGGCACTGTGGGCTCTGGAATGCTGGGTAGTTTGCTGAGGGGGAGGGGAAGAGGAGGAAAGGGGGGGCGGGGCTACACCCGAGGAGGCTGCGTGTCAGAGGGACCCCGGGTGACAGGCAGGGAGGGGTAGAATGGCCAGCTCTGTGACTCCAGGACCAACTCTGGCCACCCCGGGGTACCTGGCCCGCAGCAGACACACACTGCAGCCTGTGGGCAGGTGCTCAGGGAGACCCTGAGGACGGAACAGAGAAGGGACAGTCTCGGGGAGGGGCAGCTCCCCAGCGGGGGCACTTCGGTCTACCAAAGCCGCATCCCCGATTTGAGGTGGTGCTTGAATGGATCATTTGCATTTTAAGAGTTACGTCTTCGTGTTCATGAGCATTAGAAGAATACGGAGAGGGGCGCCCGGCTGGCTCAGTCGGAACAGCATGTGATTCTGGATCTCGGAGTCGTGAGTTCGAGCCCCACACTGGGTGCAGCGATTACTTAAATAAAGATTTAAAAAAATACAGAAAGAACATCATGCCTTTTAAAAGATATCCCTTGGAATTCTTTAAGTCGAGGGAAAGGGTGTATTGACGCCACCAAGTGCCGATGAGGACTGGGGGCAGCGTCTACTGATCTCAAGGCCTCACGCAACGGGCCGTAAGGGCTCAGCGAAGAGCTGGTGAATGAATGACGAGAACAGGGAACACGGGCAACGGGAGGGCTTGGTTTGGGCGGGACGCGGTGTGTTCTCAGGGGCAGGAACCCCTCACAGCCCTGCTCACTGGCCCTGGGGACCAGTGCTGGCTTGGGTCAGCCGGTGGGAAGGGAATCAGCTCAGCCCCTTGGGCCTGGAAAAGGCAACCAGGGAGCCTACACCGAGGGTGTGGATGGCAACAGTGAGCGATGAACTCACTACCTCCCAAGTGTCCTCGGATGCCCTGGCAGCCATCCTTGGGTACGCCTACCAGAACTGAAGAGTCAAGGGGAAGAAACGGACAGCGGCCTCAGCCGCCTTCCCCCGGGTGGTTGGCATCACTGTTTAGGGGCCGCGGAGACGGGGCTGGGAAGCTGGTTAGAACCCACTCCTCTGCTTCCCGAGAAGGTGCAGACCCCCGCCCAGAGCCGTGGAGGAGCTCCCACCACTGAGAACCCACAGCAGCCCACACAGACCAAGCTAATAATAGCCCACATCAAGCGTCCCCTTTCTGTGCCAAGCACTTTATGAGCCTCATCAAATTTATCCCCCAAACAGCCCCGGAAAGTAAGTATGTGGAGTGTTTCCACTTTATAGGTGAAAACACTGAAGTTCGGAAAAGTTAACCAATACTCCTCAAGCTCCCGTGTCCGCTTAGCGGTGGGGCCAGGATTTACACTCAGATCTGTTTGACAGACGCCAGAACCTCGGTGCTTGACCCTGGTGCGCATTGCCACTGTTTGTTACTTCTGGAACAGTCTTGTTGAGATTTAATTCACATACCATGGAGGTCACCCTTCAAAGTGCATAATGCAATGGTTCATAGGGTCACACAGCCGTCCCCACAGTCAGTCTGAGAGCATTTTCAGCATCCCCCAAAGAAACCCCATACCCGTTAGATTCCCCCCCCAACAACGCGCTGCCACCACCCCTGCCATCCCGCCCCCCCAGCCCCACGCAACCACTACTCTACTTTCTGTCTCCGTGGAGTTGCCTGTTCTGGGTATTTCACATAAACAGAATCATACAGTACGCCATCTTTTGTGGCTGGTTTCTTTTCCTTCGCATCATGTTTTCAGAGGTCATCCAGGTGGGGGCGCGTGTCTCTCCTTCATTCCGTGCCACTGCTCAGTAATTGTCTGTTGTACGGATACGCCACATTTTGTGTATCCATTCATCCACTGATGGGCCTTTGGGCTGTTTCCACCGTTTGCCCACGTTGAACAAGGCTGCTTATGAGTATTCATGTACAAGTGTTTTGGTGGATGCATTTCTCTTGGGCAGATACCTAGGAGCAGAATTTCTGGGCCAAATCGTAACTGCATGTACATGGCCACTGTTTTGAGGGAAACAGAATCTGTCTGTTTGCAGATGAGAAAACAGAGACTCCAAAAATCCCAGTGACCTGCCCAAGTTGTATAAGGAAGGCTTTGCTTTGAGTTACAGCCAATTTCAAAAGCCGAGCTTTTTCAATGTATTCCACTGTGCATTGTAGGAGCTCATTTCCTACAACTTTAAGGTAGGTGCGGTGGGAGGGGGAGGGGGGCGGCGAGACGCTGTCAGAATTAAGCCGATGAGTTAAGCAGGATCTCTGCTTCTAAGTGACTTACCATGACTCGGCCATTCACACCGTGAACCTTGTCCAGCACGTGCTATGTGCTGAGCTTTGCGATGGGCATGATGCCGACCACAAAGGTAAAGGCTGTGCCATCCTGACCCTCAAGGAGCTCCACCTCTACTGAAGAAGGCCTTGGGCTTGTCAGTAAACAACACTGGTGAGTGACAAGTGCTGGGACCCAGGAAGGAGCTCAGGACACATGGCAGGGCTGAAGATGACCTCCCAGGGCTTCTGGCTGGAGGGCTGGGAAATGGACAATGAGCATAAGCAAAAGGCATTTCAAAGTGAGGGGATAGTCTGTTTCAAGGCCTTACAGTGTTGGTGGGTCTGGTGGAGGGTAGAGGCAGAGACCGGGATGAGAAGCTGGGCAGCTGGGCAGGGCCTCAAACACCACACCCGGAAGATTGGACTTGCTCTTTGGAAGTGTCTGAGGCAGGAGTGATATAAGGAAATTTGGTGGTTAGCAAAATCCCTCTGGAGCAGTAAAAAGAATGAGAGATGAAAGTGGAGCAGTTAGAAGCCTACTGCACCAGTCCCAGCAATAGAAGAAAGGGACTGAATAGGACAGTGGCTCTAGGGATGGAGAGGAAAGAACAAATGGCAGAAGCCTCTAGCAAGGGGGGGAGTGTCTGTGCCATTATTTGGCATTGGTAGAGGCAACCTCTGAGAGGTAGGGGCTGAATGGTGGCCCCCCGAAAATGTTTGCCCACTGGGAACCTGTGAGCGCAACCTAAGGGTCTTTGCAGATGTTATTAAGCGTCTTGAGATGATCTTATCCTGGATCATCCCAAGAGGACCTTGATTTTGGATTTCTGGTCTCCCGGACGGTGAGAAAATAAATTTCTATTGTTTTAAGCCACCAATTTTATGGTAATTTGTTACAGCAGCCCTGGGAGACTGATAATCCACAGGGTGCTGTGGGTTCCCGGGGTTGGGAGACCCAGCACCTCATTTCCACATCTCTGGGCTCCCGGGAAGGAGGTGCCCGTCTCCCATCTGCAGACCCAGATAAGGCAAGGCTGGAGGGAGAAAAGCTCTCCCTCTGCCTCGTGCTAAAAAAACAGTCTCCAGTGTGTTGCCACATGAGGATTAGTCAAATAATTACGAGCTCTGACTTCCCCTGAGTGATGCGGTGGGGCTGAAGGCTGAGGCCTTGGGAAGAGTGAGTGGGGTCGTCGCGTGGTCAGGGAGGAAAGGCAGCATGAGTCGCCTCCCAGGAGAGGCCGATCTCCGTGGGAACCTACTAGAAACCCGACCAAGTTCACAGGTGACACACCCCAAACATGAGCCAGTCAGGTGAACCAGAGGCCACTCACCAGCCACCAGCCTGACACATTCCACTCCGAATGGTGAGCTCACCCTTTAATCGTCCGCAAAGCCCTCTCAGAAGCAACACTGCTGGGAGCAAGGTTAGGCAAAGTCACCCCCTCGGTAGAGGCCGGGGAGCCCAGGGTGGTAGCAAACTCAGGGGCTTCGGAGTCTAATGAGCTGGGTTCAAAGTCCAGCACCGCCTCTTCATAGTCCTGTGTGTCGGGATCCCGTAAGTCATTTCACTCCGCCTCAGTTTTCTCATCTCTGAAATGGGGATGACTAGACCCACACTGCAGGATTGTTTAGAAAATTAAATGAGCTGTCATATGCCAAGTGCCGAGCACACAGTAGATGGTTTTGAGCAATTGGCAACATGTATTGAACACCTACTGTGGGCCACCTGCCAGGAACACTGGTGAACAAGCAGGTGGCCACCTTCATGGAGCAACCAGATAACGAGGCAGACGCAGCCCCGAGTGGGGAGGCTTTGATGCGAGGGTCAGGGGTCAAGGGGAATTCCACAGGAAGTTAAGTTGAAGTTAGAATCATACTCCTGTGGGATTCGGGGATCAACTTGAGGTCATAGGACAAGTAGTGGCCAGGTGAGTACTCAGACCCATGCTTCAGAGCCCCACTGGCTGCCACCTCTGCTCTAGGGCCTGGGCAGTCTCTGAGGGTCCAGTTGTGCAGGGTTGGGCCAGCTCTAGGTCAGAGAGTCAGCCCACTTGGAACCTGCAAGCTTCCACCTTGGGTGCTGGGCCTTCCGCCTGCTGCCCAGGGGGCCCCCCACGGCCTTGGTCTGGGCCTGGTACTCCATGTGATAGAGGTACCACAGTTTGTTTATCCATTCACATGTTAATGGATAGTTGGCTTGTTTCCAGTTTGTGTTTATTAGAGATAAAGTTGCTATGAGTATTTGTTTACAAGTTTGGTGTGAGCATATGTTTTCATTTCTCTTGGGCAGATTCCTAGGAAGAGAATGGGTGGATCATGGTAGATATAATTTAACTTTGTGAGAAACTGCTAAAGTGTTTTCCAAAGAGGTTGTACTATTTACATTCTCACAGGATATGAATGTTCCAGTTACTTCACTTCCCTGACAACACTTAGTAGCAGCAGTCTTTACTTTTAGCCACTGTCATAGTCTGCTCGGGCTGCCATAAGAAATGCCAGAGACCGGGTGGCATAAGCAACAGAAATTTATTTTCTTATACTTCCGGAGGCTGGAAGTCTGAGGTCAGGGTGCCAGCATGGTCCAGTTCTGGTAAGGACTCTCTTTCCGGTGTGCAGACCAGTGGTCTCTTCACCCCCTTAATAAGAGCACCAATCCCACAAGGGGGCTCCACTCTCATGATCTCATCTAACTTTAATCACCTCCCAAAGACCCCACCTCCAAATACAACCACACTGGGAATTAGGTCTTCAACATATGAATTTGTGGGGAACATGAACATTTGGTTTACTACAGCCATTCTAAAATACGTATCATGGTATCACATTGTGGTTTTAATTTGCATTTCCCTAATGATTGATGACATTGAGCATCTTTTAATGTGATCACTCGGCACCTGCTTATCTTTTGTTGGTGAAGTGTCCGTTCAGATCTTTTGCCCATTTTTTACACATGTGTTGCGTGTTTTCTTACTATTGAGTTTTGAGAGTTCTTTATATATAATGGATATAAGTGCTTTAGCAGATATATGATTTGCAAATATTTTCTCCAAGTCTGTAGCTTATCTCATCTGTCACTTAATAGTAACTTTTAAAAAGCAGAAGTTTTAAAATTTTGATGAAGTTCAATTAACCCACTTGTTTGATGGGTGACACTTTGGAAGTCACACCTGAGAATCTTTGCATAACCCAAGGTCACTAAGTTTTCCTCTTATGTTTTTTATTCTAGAAATTTCATAGTTTTAGGTTTTGCACTTATACTTATTATCTATTTTGAGTTAAATTTTTTATCTTGCACATGGTATGGTCCAAGCTCATTTTTTGAGCCTAGGGGGTATCCAAATATCCCAGCATTATTTGTTAATAGCCCATCCTTTCTCCACAGAACTGCCTTTGCACCTTTGTAAAAAAAAAAAAAAATCAGTTATCCATATATGGGTAGATCGGTTTCTGGACTCTCTTTTGTCTCTCATTATGCCAATACCACATCGAGCTTTACCACAGGACTGGAAACCAGGTAGCATTAGCTCTCCAACTTGGTTCTTCTTCAAAGTTGTTTGGCAGATCTAGGTCCTTTGCATTTCCATATGAATTTTTGTATTGGTGTGTCAATTTCTCAAAAAGAAAAAAAACATGGTGGGACTCTGGACCTGGTAGTTGCTCAGGAAACTGTCACGGACAGTGTTGAATATTCACCCTACGACCGTGCTTGGTGGTTTACTGGACTTTTTCATGTCCTCCCATTAACTCTCAATAACCCTGAGACAGAAGCAGGTGTGGCGTTTCCCACCATATGACAAGGAAAGCTGAGCCTCAAAGGGATCGTGCATTCCCCATAGTCACACTGCCGTTGTCATCCTGCTAGCACGTGGTAGACACAGGTTTTGAATGCATGAGGTCCGGACTCCAACTCTGGGGCTCTCCATACCACCCTACCTCTAAGGAGGGGTCTCCGGGATCTCCCTAATATTCTAAAAGTTTAATAAGCTGGACAAAAAGAGGCACTCATTGTTTGGGTTACCTTTAAAAAAAAAATTCCAAATGTTGGTGCCATGCAAATGTATTTCCGTTGCCCTAATCTGAGCGCTTTCCTCTGTTCTCCTAAAATGTGGGCGTCAGTCTTAATAGGAAATCCATATGTCTCTGTTCCCTTTTAACTTTCTTTCTTGGCAGGAATACAGCTCCACGGAGGAAAGGGGAGAGGAAATGGGGATACATCACAGAAGGAAGGATTCCAGTTTGAAATGAGAAAGAACTTCCAGATGGTGGAGGCTGCCAAGCCCTGGGTGAAACTGCCAGAAAGAATGAGAACATTTCCAGCCTGGAAATCCTGAGGTCCACAGCTCCGCAAAGAAGAGCGATGGCCTTGACTCTCTCTTTCCTCTGAGTGATGCATCCTCCCAGGGGCACGATGACAGTCACAGGCGTCCCCAAGTGAGCCCACACTGCCGGTGGGACCCACAACGGAGTTGATGTACAGCGTAGGTAGCAGCTCTGAAATAGAGGGTTTCTTTTGGGTCGGGCTCCCTGAAAAGGGTTTCCGAGATGGAGATTTGCATGGAGGTGTGTTGAGAGGGCTCCTGGGGCCGGCATCCGGGTGGGGTGCGGGGAGAGGAAGCAGATCGGGACACTGATGCGCCAGGCAGCTACAACGGAGGCCTCAGCCCATCACAGCTCCGGGGCTGGCGTGGCCCTCAAGAGTCGGCCCCACGGTAGCCCCCTGTCAAGCAGTCGTTATTTGGGAGGTGCCCCTCGGGAAGGCAGAGAGACTCAGCTGGGAGCTCTCGGCGGCCAGCGCTCCCGGCAGCTGGGGAAAGGAGCGCCTTGGTCCCAGACAGCGTGTGCACGGCAGGGGCACCAGACAACCACTGCTGGGTCTAAGATGGCCCTGCACCCTCCCTGTGTTCTCCACTGTTCCATGGAATGTTCCAACCTCGAACCACCAGGAACACGCCTCCAGATGTCCCTTGTGAGGCTGCAAGTCCATTCACTGTTGGCTTCTCCAGGAAGGGCAGAGTTAAATCTTGTCATGCAACAATATCACCATCTAGAAGTTCTCCTTCTGGGCCCTTTACAAGACTCATCTGCACCCCCTTGGATCCATGCTTCAAGCCCCCCACCCCACCCCCGCCACCTCCCCGTAGGACAGGGACCTTTCCATCTCTCCACGCCCAGGGCCTGGCAGGGTCTGGCATGAGGCAGGTCCCCAGCACATGAGTGATGAAAAGGTGAAGAAATGCTCTAGCTCTGAGCTCACAGGGATCTCCCAAGGGCTTACTCTCTTTTCTCACTTTTTCTCACTTGATGTGCTCTGAGCTTACGCTTCCATTTTCACCAATCTCAGGGTTCCTGTTGATATTAATGAAAGCCCAGCTAATTCTAGAACTCTGTGATTTCCTTCATGTCACCTTCAGTGATTGAGAGAACCCCTTGGCGGACTCGTGGACCAGATAACTGATCAACCAGGAAGGCCCCTCTCCTGTCCCCTCCCCCCAGGAGGAAGGTTGCGCTTCTTCCTTCACCCGTGCCAACGGGAAGCTTCCCGAGAAAGAGGAAACACCCCACAGTGTTCCATCAGTGTGGCCCGGCTGGGATGGTCAGGAGAGAAATCCCAAGAGAGGCTAGAGGGAGAAATGCCCTCATGGAGGGGAGCTTTTCTCCTTTAATACATACCGTGGTACACCTGCTATGCGCCGAAGGACGCGCCGTGGTCTGTGCTGTGATGGGGTCCGCATAGGCTGCGCTGGGAGCCCAAGAGACCAAGCGCTTAAGGCCGATTGCAGGGTGGGGGCTGGAGGGTCAGCAAGGCCTGGAGGAGGAAAAGAGGGCTAAGCTGAGAGCCTGAATGAGGAGGGGGACCTAGCCCTGTAAAAGGAGGAGGTGAGGGCACAAGGAACAGTTCAGGCCAAGGGAACGGCACCTGCGAAAGCCACAGGCAGGCTAGGGACGTGGAGCTGTGGGGGAGGCCCGCAGGCAGAGCCATAGGGAACATGGAGGCTGATGGGATGGCGTGGACAGAACGCCAGGGCCCGGGTAGGGAGCCAAGTGTGCGGAGCCAAGGCTAGCGGCGTCTTCAGGCACAGTCGGGGGGTCCTGGGAGTGTGTGGAATAAAATATCGGTTAAAACAGAGCCCCTTGGGAAGAGTCCAGAGCAGCCCCCAGCCTCCCCCAGCCCCAGTGGGAATGGAGGCCCAGAGTCAACAGCAACAGCATTTTGGGGGGTGGGGGTTCTCTCCGTGGAATCGGCTAACCTCGCACGCGCACAGCCAGGACGTCCTCGCCCCCTTCAGGTCCTTGCCTAAACAGCTTGTTTGCGATCATTGCCCCTACCCCCCATTACTCTATTTGCTACTTTGTCTACTCTTTCTCCTGCCTGCTCTATTTTTCTCCTTGGCCCTTGGCACCACCCACGCCCCTGCATTTGCTCATCTGACTGTCCGTTAGCCGTTTCCCCTCACTTCTTGTCTGTTTTGTTCACTGCTGTATCCCCTAGAGCCTAGATGCTGGGCACCCTGTAGCTCCCCAGTGCCTAGTTATGGAATGAAACTGCTAATAACTCCTCCTGCCTTCATACGTCCCATCCATTCTTTCCTTTATCCTCATAACAACCCCCATTGTACAGCTGAGCAAACTGAGGCCAAGGGACATAAAGAATCACAAGTAGACATCTAGCCAGTGGCAAAGCTGGGCCTCACACCCTTGGATTGGGAGTTGCTGCGGCCAGGTCTCCTCGGGAAACTGCTTTAGCATCTGCAAGAGTCCTCGATATCTAAGAAGGGTAGGTATTTTCACCCCCCTCCCCGCCATGTGCACACGCACACATTCGAAAAGCAAAAAAAACCAAATTCGAACAACTGCATGCCCAAATTCATAGAACAGATTTGCAAATCCAAAGTGACGGCGTTGGCTAAGTTATTGGCATAAACCTCTGTCTCACACGTGGGTCACGAGTGTGTTGGTAAATCTGTCGGTGGGGGGGAACTCCGGGAAATGGGTATCCTTTCCCCCAGCCCATGTGGGGTGACCAGCCTGGGAAGCGTGTTAACTCCTGCATCCCAGGCCTTGAGCCTGGAGGCTCAAGGCTGAGAGGGGTCAAGGATGCGCCTCATGGTGAGTCTCGGGGCTCCTGGTCTGGGGGGCAGAGGGACGCTGTGGCCCAGAACGCCAGGCCTCAACCTTGTCTGTCCCCTGGCAGTTTGGGCGGGAGAGGCGTCCGGAGAAGGTGGGAAGCTGTTGGTCTTGAGCTCCAAGTGCGTCTCCTGCAAAGCTCCTTGGTCTGGGTGGGAAGAGGTCAGAGTTCACCCCCAGCGCAGGTGCAGCTCCTCCCCACCCCTTGCTTCCTCCATCAGCCGAAGCCCACAGTTTGAGTGGCTTTTGGTTGACTTCCTTGGGGAAGAAAATGATGATACAAATGACTCCATCTTTCACTTCCCAGACCCCACCCAGTGCACTTTTAAGATGTGGAAATTTTATTAAATCCCTGAGCACAGCTTCTTTCTACATTTTCTGTGGTTTAACTCTCCCTGGGTCTTTTTGCTTATGGTTTGGGCTTTTTTCCCCCTCTTTAAATCTGAGAGTTTTCTTTCTCCATTGTCTCTTAAATGAAACAAGTGCTAACATTTCTAGTATTTTCTACAGGCCTTGCATACTCGGACAGTAAGTACGTACTGACCTGGCAACCAGTACATCTCTGTGCATGTGGATCCCCAGTATGAATCTGGGTTCTCCTCTACCTGACTGCCCCTGTCCTTCACTCCCTCCTTTGCAGACTGGCCTCAGGACCTTGGCTCACACAGGTCCCCTGGGAGAATGGCTTTGCTCCCTCCCATTTACCCAAATTGGTCTCTTCCTTGCCCTAGGCAAGGTTCCCCCAGGCAATAAAAATCTTTTCTGAGCACTGTAGCCCCTCTTATCCCTCCTCCCTCCTGAAGGACTGGGCCTGCCTCCCCGATCTGGTAGTGCAGTTCACCTCTGGGCGATCGTCTTTGAAAAATACGAAATTAACTGTAAGGATATGAATATGCATTTTAGGAAAATGAACTGCCCCGCCCTCAAACCTGGTTCCTCCTACCACCACCCACTCCCCAGGTAGCCCACTGTGAGTTTGGTTGATACTTCCAGGTTATTTAATTCCCATGCTTTCACACATATTCAAATAAAACGCACTTGCCTCCAAAGCAGGAACCTAGGCTGAGACGTCCAGCCAGGCTTCTGTGATTAGTGCTCAATTTCTTCTACATGTTTCGTCTCCCTGGATCTGGGCAGCCCCAGGAAGCATGCAGAGTAGGGGGTGATCCCTCCTTTTCACAGGTGAAGCTGCAGAGGTGCAGAGAAATTAATGGGGTTGCCTCAGGTCACAGAGCTAGTAAGAAAGAGAGTGAAATTGGAACGCTTGTCTTCTGACATGCCCAGCTGTTCTGGGAAAAGCACCGAAGGACGCTTGACTTCCCTAAACCTTACTCCCTGAGTGCCCAGCTCTGCAGAGCTGAGGTTAGCTAAAAACATGTTGCAATCCCTTGTTACTCTCCAAGTAGCCAAACCCGGGTTCTCAGCTATGACTTGCTATGTGCCCCTTTCACGCCTGTAGTTCAGCATCCACTGGGGTGAATCATGAACCATCAGCCAGCTGTCGCCTCACCTTTAGCTCCGTGAGGTGTGAAGCTTGTTTTCCTTTGCTGGCATAAAATAGTCACCTTGGACATGTGGTCAGATGCAGGACACTGCCTCAAACACAAACACAGACCCACAGGAAAAATCGATTTGTAGAATGCAAGTGCTTGCGGGGCCAGTAGCTGGCTTCTCCCTAGGAAGCTCCCATGGCTGACAAGGATGTCACCTGCCTCAGGGAAACAGTTGGGACATGCTGGTGAGCTCAGGGTTACTGACCCGGGGAGGGGGAAGAGGAATGCCTGGTTGAGCTCTGTGGGCGTGACCCAGGACGGGCAGCCCCGGAGGCTCACAAAGATTCCCTGGCTCACACTCCCCAAGTGAAACTCGGATCGTTGGTCAGCACAAACCCCCTCTTGGGCCTGTTCTTTCTGCCAGTCCATGCTGAAATCCCAACCACAGTGGGCGGGTGGGTGTGCCTTGATGATTAACAGCCAAAGCTTCCTGCTGGTGTCAGTGCCCTCTCAAGGGACTTCTTTCTTTCAGTGCTGGCAGTGTGTGGAGGGAGGTTCTTAAGAGAACCTGGTGAGTGTGGGAAGGCTTGGGGGGCTGGCCTGGACCTCTAGCAGGACTCTATGCAGGAGTTTCCCAAAAGGCCACCCAAGAGGATGGTAGGTGTTTCAAGAACATGTATTTCTTTTATTTTAGTAATTACATACTTACTTTAATATGCTTAAAATATACTTAGTGCATCTAACCTATAATCTCATGTAATTACGTAATTTCATGTATATTATTATTTAGGAGAAGGCCAAACATATTTTTTAAAGTGACTTGATTAAAGTAAAAAACTAGGCAAATAATAACACAGGCCACAAGTCGATACGGCAAAAAACTCTGATGAGGGAGTTTGAACCATTGGAGTTTGAGAAACACTGCTTTCTTGGAGAATCCAATATTCACGCCAAAAATATCAACTGAACCTAGATCCAGCAAAGAGAGATTGTTAGAGATCTCTCTCGGGAATCACACTAGTTCATTTCCATGCTTTCAATGTGTATGAACTTTTGGAAAGGGAAAGGTGCTTGAGAGGTTTTTTATTCTGGTTTGTTTTAATTGAGACTTTAGCATATCCAAGGCCCTGGGGGATTGGAGATGAAGAGATGCTGCCAAATGGGGTAATTAAAAAACAATCCATGAAGTGAAATCTGAAAAGGCGGGAAGGGAATGATAAATGGAATTGGGATGAAGTGTTTAGCGCCAGGTTTTTGACTCATCAGAATATTGTTTAAAAAGAAAAGAAAGAAAAAGATGTGCAACTCTTTGTATTTATCTATGATCTTCTGGAGCTTTTGACCTAAGAATATGGTATTTAGATAGCTGTAATTCTAGTGTATCTATATGTTGTTCTGTTTGGCTTTATGAACTCATCATTAATTCATTAACTCATACAGTCTTCACATGGAGTATGAATCAGAACCAGCTGGAAAACTGGTTAAAATGCAGACTGCTAGATCTGCCTCCCAGGATTCTGACTCAGTGGGTCTGGAGTGGAGCCTGGACATCTGCATCTTTAAAAAGATTTATTTATTTAACACAGAGAGAGAGAGCGCGCATAAGCAGGGGGAGAGGCAGAGGGAGAGGGAGAAGCAGGCTCCCCGCTGAGCAGGGAGCCCGACACGGGGCTTGATCCCAGGACCCCGAGATCATGACCTGAGCTGAAGGCAGACGCTTAACCAACCGAGCCACCCAGGTGCCCCTGGGGCATCTGCATTTTTAACAAGGTCCTCAAAGAGTCTGATAAAGCTGGTCCTGACCTCACTCAGGGAAACCTTGATGCATAGGAAATATACATGATTCAGATGTAGATTCCATCCTCAAGAGAACACTGCCAAGGGGCGCCTGCTCAGCGGGGAGTCTGCTCCTCCCTCCCCCCCACCTCCTGCTCTCTCTCTCTCACTCTGGATCACTCTCTCTCTCAAATAAATGAATAAAATCTTTTTAAAAAAATGAGAACACGGCCAGGGGAGGGAGATGACACACACACAAGAGGTCACAAGGTAGAAAGTATGTTGTGTGGTAGGAGAACAGAAAGTGCACAGGAGCGCCCACCACCATCACCCAGCCCATGGGTGCTGAAGTCCCCTCTGTTCCTAAAGGTTCCATCCTTGTGCTGTATTGTATTCCAACCAACCTTGAATTATTTACTCATAGTATTACTCCTACATCTAGCAGAAAAATCATTTCAATGATGCAGGATCTTTTTTAAAAAGATTTTATTTATTTATTTGAGACAGAGAGGGCATGTGCTTGTGCTTTTGTATGTGTGTGTAGGTTAGGCAGTGGAAGGGCAAAGGAGGAGGGAGAGGGCCAAGCAGACTCCGCACTGAGCACAGAGCCCGATGCAGGGCTCGAACCCACGACCCTGAGATCATGACCTGAGCTGAAACCAAGAATGGGATGTTTAACCAACTGCGCCACCCCAGTGCCCCTCAATGATGTAGGGTCTTATCTTTCATTCTGGTGAAGGGTATTGGGGAAAAAAAGAACAGTATTTTGTGGCATGTGAAAATTATATTAAATTAAAATTTCAGTGTCTGTAAATACAGCTTTATTGGAACACAGCCACCATCATTCATTCATTCACATATCATGCTATCGAGGCAGAGTTACAAACTTGCAACAAAGAAGGTCTGTCCTGCAAAGCTGAGCATATTCAGTGGCTGCCCCTTCCCATGAAAATTTGCCTACCCTCGCTTTTGAAACTTGCTTTTAAGTATTGTTACGCAGAATGAGAGCATCCTTTAGTCCAGGGCTAACTTTGCCTCGCTCTGGCTGGGGGGATAAGGAACATTCTAGGGCCTGTGTGAGTTTAGATTTTTGTTCCCTCTGATCTGGGAGGTTCTTGCCTGGCCTGAGGTAGTTTCCTCACTGGCTGGAGCTGGTGATGACTCAGCTGAGGCATCCAGGGAGACCCTCTGCACATCTCCAGAGCTCCCTCTCTGGGCCGCTGTCTCCCCCCAGTCCTCTGCTCTGCAATTTCTACCTCCCTGAATCTTCAGCTCTGTTGCCTACCAGGCTCCCTCTAGGACCCCCCGCCCCCCCCCCACACTCTGAGGGCACCTGGGAACTCCCCAGGTGCTAAACAAGGGCAAGGGCCAATATCCTGTTGTCTAATGTCTGAAAACCACCTTTCATATATGTTGTCCAGATTTTTAGCTGTTAAAGGTGAGAGGGCAAATCCCATTTCTGTTAGGCCATCATTGCCAGAAGGGAACGAAGTACTAGATTTTAAAAGAGGTGAGTATAAATTTATCTTTACAGCAACAGGATTGCAACACGAAAATATTTATCATTTTTACGGATGACAAAGTTGCAGGTATTGCTAATTCGACTGTAGTCTGTTGCCTACCTTTTTAAAAATTTTTTTAAAGATTTTTATTTATTTATTTGACAGAGAGACACAGCGAGAGAGGGAACACAAGCAGGGGGAGTGGGAGAGGGAGAAGCAGGCTTCCCGCTGAGCAGAGAGCCCGACGCGGGGCTCGATCCCACGACCCTGGGATCACGACCTGAGCCAAAGGCAGACGCCCAACTACTGAGCCACCCAGGCGCCCCTGTTGCCTACATTTATAATTGTAGGAAATGCTAAATTCCAATTAGAGATTAGTAAAAGTAAAGATGTAATTTTTTTTTTTTAAAGATTTTATTTATTTATTTGAGAGAGAGAGAATGAGAGAGAGCACATGAGAGGGGGGAGGGTCAGAGGGAGAAGCAGACCCCCCGCCGAGCAGGGAGCCCGATGTGGGACTCGATCCCGGGACTCCAGGATCAT